TCAGTACTTTGGAGAGGTCCCTAACAGCAGACTTTCCCATGGCAATGCGCCTTTTAATTTCCTGGCTGCTGGTGCCAAGACCGTTGACTATGGAGCCAAGCAAACTAAAGCTGTGTACAATCTCAATCTCTTCACCATCCATCCTGATGCTGCCATTGGTCCAGTGGTGAAAGTCCCATTAGTTTATTTTATTCTTTCCTGGTTGTAGGTTTTTAATTATGCTCCGAAGACTTTCATGCTGTGGATTAGGCCTTCTAGTGTTCTTCCTAGCATTTCACTGAAGAAGTTTATAGTCTTTGGTTTTATGTCTAGGTCCCGATCCGCCTTGATTTGGTTTCTGCGTATGGTATGAGATATGGTTAGTCTTGCTTAAGTTTTCTGGAGATGCTTTTGACATTTTGCCAACACCATTTGTTAAAGAAATTGTCATTTCCCCACTTAAATTATTTTGTCTCCAAGTCAACAATCGACTGACCATAGGCATATGAGCTGACTTCTGCGTTCTCGATTCTGTTTCATTGATCTAGGTGTCTACTGTATCAGTATCAGGCTGTCTAAACTACCACGGCTGTGTAGTAGGATTTGAGATCAGGGGGTGTGATGCCTCCTAGCTTGTTTCTCTTTTTCAGTAGTGTTTTGTTTATTTGGCGTCTCTTTCCATTCCAGATAAAACTGGTAATTGCCTTTTCTATCTCATTAAAGAATAGAATTGGTGTCTGTATTGAGATTGCATTGAATTTGTAGATTGCATTTGGCAGAATTGTCATTTTAATGATACTGAGTCTTTCTATCCATAAGCATGGTATATTCTTCCATTTCTCCAGGTCTCTTTCTGTCTCTAGTTAGATTTATTTCCAAGTATTTCATATTGTGATTAGGTATTGGAATTGGTATTGTTTTTCTTAGCTCCATTTCTATATTCTCTTTGTCACTGTAGAGAAAAGTAACTGATTTTTGTACGTTGATCTTGTACTGTGCTACTCTGCTGCATTAGTCAACTATGTCCAGTATTTTGTCACTGAATTTTTGGGCTTTCTAAGTATACTATCATGTCAACCGCATATATAGTGTTACCTCCTCTTTATCCATTTGTATGCCTATTATTTTCTTGTCTTGTCTTATTGCTTTTGCTAATACTTCTGAAGACCAGATGAGCTGTGGGAGGATATAAAGAATGTCATCCAGGAAGAATGCAAAAGGTCATTGCAAAGACATAGGCGGAAGAAAAGAACAAGATGGATGTCAGAAGAAATTGTGAATACTGCAGTAGACTGCGAGAAGCCAAAGCAAAAGGAAGAAATCAAGATATTAAGGAGATGTACAGAAGATTTCAAAGGGCAATGTGGGAAGATAAAGCAAAGTATTACAATGAAATATGCAAACAGCTGGAATCAGAAAATCAAAGGGGCCAAACTGGTTCAGCATTTCTTAAGTTGAAGTAACTGAAGAATATTCAAGCCTCGTGTTGCAATACTTAAGGATGCTTTGGACATATTATTAAATGATCCAGAAAGCATTAAAAGAAGATGGAAAGAGTATACAGAGTCACTGTACCAAAAGGAATTGGCAGACACAGAAAAAAATTCATGTAATAACGTACGAGCCTGGGATGATGAAGGAAGAAGTACAATCAGCTCTGGAAGAAACTGGCAAAAAAACAAAGCCCCAGGAATTGATGGCATACCAACTGACATACTTCATCAAACAGATACTGCCCTGGATGTGCTAACCAAGCTGTGCCAAGAAATCTGAAGGACAACCACCTGGCCAACTGAATGGAAGAGATCTATTTTTGTTTAGTTCCCTTTCCAAAGAAAGGTGATCCAACAGAGTGTGGAAATTATCGAACAATATCCAAATATCGCATGCAAGCAAGATTCTGCTGAAAAGAATCCAAAAACAACTGGAAGAGCAAATCAACAGGGAACTGCCTGAAGTGCAGGCTGGATTTAGAAGAGGCCATGGTAATAGGGATATTATAGCTAATGACAGAGGGATCTTGGGTGAAAGCAGAGAGTACCAGAGAAATGTCTAGATGTATTTCATTGACTATGCAGAGACATTTGATTGTGTGGATTGCAACAAACTGTGGTTGCCTCTGAGAAGAACAGGAATTTCAGAATACTTGACTGTGCTTATGTGCCTATATTTGCATCAGAAGGCAGTTGTCAGAATACAGCAAGGAAACACTGCATGGTTCAAAATTGGGAAGGGTATATACCAAGGATGTGGCCTATCTCCATACCTTTTCAATCTATATGAAGCACTGATTAACTGGGAGGCTGGGCTGTCTGAGGAGAAATGTGGCATCAGGATTGGAGGAAGACTCATCAACAATCTGTGTTATGCAGATGACACAACCCTGCTTGCTGAAACTGAGGAGGATCTGAAGCGCATGCTGCAGAAGGTCAAGGACTGCAGCTTTCAAAATGGATTGAAAGAAAAGATTCTCTCCACTCGGCCGATCGGCAGTATCATGGTAGATGGTGAACAGATAGAGATTGTTAACAACTTTAGTTTGCTTGGCTCTACAATTAACACCCTTGATACCAGCAGCCAGGAAATGAAAAGATGAATTGTATTGGGAAAATCTGCTGAAAGAGACCTGTCCAATGTACTGATGAGCAGCGATGTTAATCTGGAGACTAAGGTGATCCAGGCCATACTCTTTGCAATTACTGGTTATGCATCTGAAAGGTGGACAATGACTAGGGATGATAGAAGAAGAATTGATGTCTTTGAGATGTGGTGCTAGAGAAGAGTACTGAATATACCATGAACTGCTAGGAGAAACAAACAGGTTTGTCCTACAGAGGGTGAGATAAGACTGCTCCTTGGAGGCATGGATTCTTAAGCATCATCTGACATACTTTGGACACGAAGCAAGAAGCAACCAGTCCTTGGGGAGGGACGTCATGCTTGGGAGGGACAGCGCAAGAGAGGAAGATCCTGGATGAGATGAGTTGATTCCTGACTGGAGTAATGGTGTGTCAGAGACAATAAGACTGGCACAGGATTTGGAGCATTTCTTCATGTGTCTGTTTACCATTCGAATATCTTTCTCTGTGACAATTCTTTCTGTGTTTTTTGCTCATTTTGTAATTGAGTTATCAGTATTTTTTTTTGTGGAGGCCCAGGACGCTTGTCTGAAATGGTATTGCCAAATGTTTATTCCCAGACAGACTATAGGTTTTCTTTTCATCCTGTTGGAAAAAGTTTTTTGATGTGCACATGGATTTAACCTTTAGAAGGCCCCATGCATTAATTTTATCTTCTTCAGATTGTGCATTTCTGGTTGTATTTGGCAAGCTCTTTATATCTTAGCCTAGCACTTCTAAGCTTGATCCGAGTTTGTCTCTTACAAATGTTACCATTTTGGGCTTTTACTTCCAGGTCTCTGATCCACTTTGAGTTGATTTTTGTGTATGGTTTGAGATGTGTTTCAGCTTTATGCAGGTGGAAGTCCAGTTTTGCCAGCACCATTTGGTGAAGAGGTTATAATTTCCCCATCTTATAGCTTTGATTTCCTTGTTGAGTATTAGTTGACCATAGATAGCTGAGTCTATTTCTGGGTCCTCAAGTCTGTTTCTTTGGTCTATGTGCCTGCCACTG